CGCATCCAGGGGGATCCCCGGGCCCTGCTGCCCAGGAGTGGGGGCCCAGGACCCCCACAACACAGACAGGAGCCACCTCTGGTTCCCAGACTGCGGAGGAAGACGCAGTGGCCGGCGCCTCTCTGGACACCCCGACGGGCCGTGTCTCCTCTGTCCCCAGGGAGGACATCACGGTGACTGGGCCCCAGGGCGCAGGCGGGGAGCCCCAGCCGACCACAGCCGAAGAGGCCATGCCCTCTTCCAGCCGCAGAGCAGGGGCTGCCTCGGGGGTGACAGCTTCTGAGCGGGGGTCTCTCCCAGGCCACTCGGGCTCACTCGGGGCCACACCCCCTGGGACCACCGACTCCACCGTGGGAAAGGCCACTGTTTCCACGTCAAGAGCCGCGTGGCCAGAATCCACAGGGGCTGGGGCAGAGCTTCCTTACCCCCTGAGCCCTGGCCTGAGGGAGCCCAGCACGCCCTCGAATTCTAACTCAGCCCCGCAGGCAACTGCCCCTCCCCCAGGCTCTGCGGCTGTCTCTGAGGGTGCCAGGACAGAAGTCACCCCCAGGCCAGGCCTTGCTCAGGCCACGGGGTCATCAGACGTGACCAGGTCCCCGGCCTCCCCTGCCACGGAAGACTGGGGAGGAATGAACACACACAGGCACGGTGGTCCGGCTGGGGCAACATCCTTGGGGACACCTGCCTGGGACGCCCCGGCGGCTTCTGAGGCCGCCACAAGCACAGAGGCAACTCACCGCTTCCTGAGCGCCATGGAGACCAACGTGGGTCTCTCCAGCGCTGCACGTGAGCCCCCTTCCTCTCTTCCAGCTGAACCCGAGTCCTCATCGTCTCCTGCAGCGGGGGCCCCCCCCGCCGGCAGAGGTCCCGCAACTTTCACACCAGGATCTGTCTCTCCTGAGACTGCAATGACGGACACACGGTCTGCACCTTCCTTGAGTAGCACAGAGGAGACTGGAAGGCCACAGAAGGCCCAGTCAACACCTGACCAGATGGTAGCAACTTCTCACTTCAAAACTGGCACTGATAATCGCATATCCAGGACACAAGACCTCTCAGCAAACAGCCCCTCCTTCCCTGGCCGGCAGCAATCCACGACGTCGTCAGCCATGTCGGGAACAGTGACCCACAGGCATCCTACCGCCACCATTGTGGTAGAGCCTGAAGAAAAGACCATCGCTCATCAAGCGGGGTCCCCTGAGGCTACACCGCCCGTGGCAGGAGACGTGGATGCGCCAGCCACAGCCTCCGGGGCGGGGACGCGCTCGGCTGCGACTCGGCGCTTTGCTCTTCCAGGGGAGACCACGGCCAGGAGCTCGGCTCCCGATGACGTGTCCCAGACCAAGCGTTCCTCCCGCGGAGACGCCGACACTCCATCCTACCCTGGGGTTTCTTCCACCACGACCTCACCGTTTCCAGTTTCTGCCACATCACCAGGCAGTGGCATGTCCTCCCCTGCTGCTGTGACCTCCGTTCTCACACCCAGGCCTGTCAAGACCACAGGTGTGATCAGCACAAGTTCACACACGACAGCCAGTTCACCTGCATCTTTCAGCAGCAGCACAGTGCAGAGACTGACTACTGTTCCTGAGGCGTCCACACAGACAGAGGCAACTCACCTCTCCAAAAACACAGCTGAGACCCATGCAGGGAGCTCCAGTATTGGACGTGACACCCCTTCCTCAGCTCACACAGAGCCAGTGGCCAGTACTCCTGAGGTGGTGACTTCTATAACAAAAAAGGACATGACAATTTCCACATCAGTGTCTGACTCTCCAGAAACTGCCGAGGAGACACAGTCAGCAGCCTCCTTCAATAACACGGAGTTGGCCAGTAACTATGAGAAGACCAGGTCTACCACAGAGCAGAGCACAGTCCTTTCAGAAGTGCCCACTGGGACTCCTGGTGAGAAGGTCAGGACAGAAGTCATCACCACTGGCAACATCGTGGACTCCACTCAGGCCACAGTGTCCCCAGACATCTCCACAAGGATCGTCACCACACTGCCCACCTACCCCACTGAGGAAAAATCAGGAGATATTAGCACAATTGTCCACTTAGGTTCCCCTTTGGTTACATCACTGGCTACACTAGACATGGACACATCACCCACTGCTTCCAGTGAGGGGACCCATGCAGCTGAGACCCAGGGCTATGTACTGTCAGGAATGCCCACTCTCACAAGCACAGAGCCTGATGACGAGCTCTGGACCAAGCCTTCCCCTTTGGAGAACACCAATACTCACTCCTTCCCATGGACTACTTCCACCACAAGCTCACATTTTCCAGGTTCCAGCGTAGCACCACAGAGTTACACATCCTTCTCTGCTCCGGGGACCATCACTCTCACTACTGGCTCTGTGAAGACCTCAGGACTGAATGGCGTGGGCTCGCACACAACAACTCATCCACCCCCACATCTGAACACCACTGCGGTGGAGACAGGGACCACTTATCAGGCTGCCAGAAGTACACAGGCAACTCACCTTTCCCGAAGCACAGCTGGGAACAGAGTGGGGATCCCCACCCCTAGGCATGAAATACATTCCTCTCTCCCAGCTGAATCAGAGTCTCCAGCCACTGTTCCTGAAGTGGTGACTTCTTTCACCAATAGAGAGCCAAGAATTTTCACACCAATGCCTACCTTTTCGGAAAGTGCAATAATTGGCACAGAGTCAGTATCTTCCTTCAGAAGCACAGAGGAGACCAGCAGCTCCTGGATGAGCCAGTCAATCACCGATGAGATCACAGTACTTTCTGAAGTTACAACTGGTACCAAAGATGGTATGTTCAGGACAGAAGCTCTCTCCTCAAACAGTCCATCCATTCCTGGCCCTCTTCGACCCACGATGTCATCAGATATCCCTAGATTAGACACCACCAGACAGTCTGCCTCTACCACTATTGACACTGCGCAAACAACCATCACTCAAGAAGTAAATTCCCATGAGGGTACACCAGAGACTCCACTAGACTTAGATACAGCAACCACAGCCTCCAGCGCAGGGACTCAGTCAGCTGGGACTCAGAGGTTTGCACTTTCAGAGATGACAACTCACAAAAGCAAAAACACTGTTGATATAATCTCAACCAAGCCTTCCTTCATGGAAGAAACCAATGCTCATGGGCTCTCACATGATACGACCTCAACTCTTGCCATTTCTACCACATCGCCAGAGGGTAACACTTCCTTCCATACTGCTATGACCTCAGTTCTCTATCCAAATCCTGTCAAGACCGCAACCATGAAAAGCACGAGCTCAAAAAGAACAGCGAGTTCACCTCCACCTTTCAGCAGCACAGTGCAAATACTAACTACTCCTGAGATCGCCACACATACAGAGACAACTCACCTCCCCAAAACCACAGCTGAGACCAATATGGGAATATCCAGCTCTACACATGAAACACTTACTCCTAATCCAAGTCATTTGGAGCAACCAACAGTTAATCCTGCAGTGGTTTCTTCTTTCAACAATAAGGAAACTACAGTTTCCACATCAATGACAAACTTTCTGAAAACTGCAAAAATTGAAACAGAGTCAACATCTTCCTGGAGTAGCGTGGAGGAGACCAGCAGCTCCCAGAAGACCAGATCAATCACAGAGCAGAGCACAGTCCTTACTCAAGTGCACACTAGGACTTCTAGAGATAAGATCAATACAGAAATCACCACTGCTAGCAACATCATGGATTCTGCTCCGTTCACGATGTCAACAAACATTCCCACAGAAATTGTCACCAAACTTTCCACAACAGCCAGTCTTGAAACACCTGGAGATATTATCACTATCACTCACACAGGTGCCCCTGTAGGTAAATCACAGGCTACACTAGACATGGACACATCAACCGAAGCTGCCAGTGCAGAGACTCACTCAGCTACGACGCGGAGATTTACATTCTCAGGAATGCTCATGAGCACATTGCCTGAAGATGTGTCCTCGACCAAGCCTTCCTCTGAGGAAGACACAAATGCTGCCTCCTTCCATGGCCCTTCCTACACCGTGACCTCACTTCTTCCAGTTTCTACCACCTCATCAGAGAGTGGCACTTCCTTCCCAACTGCTGTGACCTCAGTTCTCAATCCCAGCCCTGTGATGACCGCTGGCATGGTCAGCACAAACTTATATACTATAACTAGTTCAACTACACATTTGAGCAGCAGCAAACTGCAGACACTGACTACTCCTGCGGACTCTACAAATACTCAGACAACTCAAATCTTGAGAAACACAGCTGAGACCAACGTGGGAATCTCCAACTCTGCATATGAAACAGTTACCCCTAATCCAACACACTCAGAGCCAGTGACTGGTGCTCCTGTAATGGTGACTTCCATAACCAACAAAGTTATCACAATTTCCACATCAATGTCTGTCCCTCCAGATAGTACCAAGATAGAGACACAGTCAACAGCCTCCTTGAGTAGCATGGAGACCAGCAGCTCTCAGGAGAGCAGATCAACCACAGAGCAGAGCACAGTCCTTTCAGAAGTGCCCACTGGGACTGCTGGTGAGAAGGTCAGGACAGAAGTCATCACCACTGGCAACATCATGGACTCCACTCAGGCCACCATCTCACCAGACACCCCCACAGGAGCTGTCACCAAACTGTCCACCTCCCACATGGTTGAACCAGCAAGAGGTATGACCAACACTATCCAGCCTGGTCCCCCTTTGTCTACATCACAGGCTGCCCTAGACATGGACACGTCAACCACAGCCTCCCATGAAGGGACTCGCATGGCTGAGACACAGAGGTTTACACTCTCAGTGGTGACAGCGCTCACGGAAACAGCTCCTGATGACGTGTCCTGGACCAAATATTCATCTCTGGGAGACACCAACACTGCATCCTTCCGTGAGCCTACACATGCCAGGTCCTCACCTTATCCAGTTTCCACAACATCACCAGGGAGTGACACTTCCTTCCCGACTGCTTTGACCACAGTTCTCAGTCCCAGCCCTGAGAAGGCCATGGGCATGACTGGCTCAGCTGTACACGCGACAGCCAATTCACATTTCAGCAGCAGCGCGGTGCAGACACTGACTGCTGCTCTTGAGGCCTCCACACAGACGGAGGAAACACACCTGCCCCTAGCCACAGCTGAGGCTCGTGTGGAGACCTCCGCCCCTGCACATGACGCCCCTCCCCCTCTCCCTGCTGTGTCAGCATCTACAGCCTCTGTTCCTGCAGTGGTGACTTCTTTCACCAACAAGGATTTGACGATCTTCACAACAACCGCTGCCGGAAGCACAGTGGCTGACACACAGCCAGCATCTCCCCCAGGTGGCACAGAGGAGACCAGCAGCTCCCTGAACTCCCACTTGATCACCCATGAGACCGCTGTACTCTCGGAACTCACAACTGGTAGTAAAGATGTGTCAGGTACAGATCTCTCCTCTGACAATCCATCCTCCCCTGGCCCTCTTCAGTCCACAGTGCCGTCAGACAGCCCTGGGTTAGACGCAGCCAGACGGTCGACCTCTGCCATTATGTTGGAAACTGCAGGAGAGACCATCACTCATCTCACGGGTTCCGGTCTGATGAGTGGAACGGACACGTCAGACACAGCTCCTCGTGGAGGTGCTCGCTCGGCTTCCACGCAGAGTTTTATACTCTCAGCGATGAGTGCTCACGGGAGCAGTGAACCTGTGGATGCGCCCACGTCTAAGCCTTCCTCTGCTGAGGACACCAACTCTCCACCCTTCCCTGAGCCTACATCCACCATGACCTCACCTTTTTCAGTTTCCACCACATCACCAGAGAGCAACACTTCCTTCCCTGCTTCTGTGACCTCAATTCTCACTCCTGTTCCTCTGAAGACCACAGATGTGATCAGCACAAACTTACTCACTACAACCAGTTCACCTCCACCTTTCACCAAGAGCAGCACAGTGCAGAGATTCACTACTCCTGAGGCCTCCACACAGACATGGGCAACTCACTTCTCCAAAAACACGGCTGAGCCCGATGTGGGGATCTCTAGTAGTGGACAGGACACCATTTCCTCTTCTCTAGCTCATTCAGAGTCAGTGACTGGTGCTCCTGCAGTGGTGACTTCTATAACCAATAAGGATATGACCATTTCCACATCATTGTCTCACTTTACGGAAACCGCCAAGATGGAGACACAGTCAGCAGCCTCCTTGAGTAGCGTGGAGGAGACCAACAGCTCTCAAGAGACCAGATCAACCACAGAACAGAGCACAGTCCTTTCAGAAGTGCCCACTGGGACTGCTGGTGAGGTCAGGACAGAAGTCATCACCACTGGCAACATCACGGACTCCACTCAGGCCACAGTGTCCCCAGACACCTGGCCAGGAATCATCACCAGATTGTCCACCTATCACAGTATGGAACCACCAGGAGGAATTACCACAACTTCCCGAGTAGGTTCCCCCTTTTCTACATCAAATGCTACCCTGAACATGGACACATCCCCCCCAGCCCTCAGTGCAGTCCCCCACTCAGCTGGGACTCCAAGTTTTACACACTCGGAGACGAATGCGCACAAGACCATTGAATCTGTGGATGTGTCCTCGTCTCAGCCTTCTTCCCTTGAAGTCACCACTACTCCATCCTCCCCTGAGCCTACATCCACCACGACCTCACCTCTTGTGGTTTCCACCACATCAGCAGAGAGGCACACTTCCTCCCCTGCTGCCAGGACCTCAGTTCTCACTTCCAGGCCTGTGAGCATCACAGGCTTGATCAGCACAAGCTTACATAGTACAAACAGTTCACTTCCACCTTCCAGCAGCAGCGCAGTGCAGAGACTGACCACTCCTGAGGCCTCCACACCCACACAGGCAACTCACTACTCCAAAAATACAGTTGGGAGCAACATGGGGATCTCCAGTCCTGGGCGTGAAACCCTTTCCTCTGCTCCAGCTCATTCAGAGCCATCGACTCATACTCCTGCAATGGTGACATCTTTCAACAATAGGGATGTAACAGCTTCCACATCAGTGTCTGACGCTCCAGAAACTTCCATGATGGAGACAAAGTCACCAGCAACCTTGGGGAGCATGGAGGAGACCAGGAGCTCCCAGGAGACCAGTTCAACCACAGGACAAAGTACAGTCCACTCCGAAGAGTCCACTGGGACTCCTGGTGAGGTCAGGTCAGAAGTCATCCCCACTGGCAACATCACGGACTCCACTCAGGCCACCATCTCACCAGACATCCCCACGGGAGCCATCACCAGACTGTCCACCTCTCACAGTGTGGAACCACCAGGGTCCCAAGCAGGTTCCCCTCTGGCTACATCACAGGCTGCACTAAACATGGACACGTCAACCACAGCCTCCCTTGAAGGGACTCGCTCGGCTGAGACACAGAGGTTTACACTCCCAGAAACAACGCCTCACGTGAGTGGCAGTCTTCACGTTTCGGTTGAGGAAACTACTTCTTCTGCCCTTTTATCTCCCGCCACTACACTCGCTACACATTCTTCTGTTTCCCCATCATACCAGGGTGGCCCTTACTTCTCATCTGAAGCCTCGTTTCTTGCCTCTGAGCTCGGGCAGCCCGCCAACGTGCTGGGTACGAGTCTGGGACCTGGCTCCGGTAAACCTCCAGATGGGAGCATCTCCACTGCTAAGGGTCTGACGCCACCTGAGGCTTCCGCAGGTACAGGGGGTGCTCCTGGGCCCACGTGCCCAGCTGTAGCTTCTGTGGGAGCAGCCAGTTCTAGAGACGAACAACTTTCCGTCGCCCCCACTTATTCCATGGCATCCCGCCCCACATGCCCAACGGGCTCTGCCTCTTCCACGGAGGTGACCACTGTTTCCACAGCAACTCCTGCCTCCCTTGAGACCTCGGCTTTCGAGACAGAGGCACATTCTTCCCGGACTCTTGGGCCAAGGGAAACAAGCGCCCGCCTGGGCTCCGGCTCATCCACCCCCACGAACACGCCTGCGTCTCCTCTGTCCACTTCTCCTTCCCACAGCCCCAGGACGGACGGCACCTCTTCTGGGAAAATATTAGCACCAGGAGGCCAGCCTCCTTCTTCACAGAACACTGCAACGCCTCTGGAAACGCACTTTTATGTCTCTGATTCAGTTACAGGGTCTGCTGCTCTAGCCCGCTTCTCGCAGTCCGAGCACTCTGTGCCCGCCCCAGAGGGAACGCAGGGCCCCCGCGACGGCGTTCTGTCTCCACCTGAGCCGACTTTGGCTGGCACACCGAACACCTCTCCGGCTGAGGCCGTGAGTTCCTCTGTTCCCACTGGAATGTCAGCTACATTCTCTGCTAGTTCATTTTCTGAGGCACAGTCTGGGCCTGGGGAGACTGCCACTCCAGAAATCATCCCTTCACCAGTCTCCACATCACCCTCCTCTTCAACCTTCAGTAGCGCTGACTCTTCAGCTGTCCCAGCCCTCCATGAGACTTCCTCACCAAGTGCCCCTCTTACAGTGGATACCAGCCTTGAGGCAGAGACCTTCACTGCCAGACCCTCAGTTGTGGTCTCTACTCTGGAGACTTTGACCAGGCCATTCAGAACCTTATCAACCATTGTGGCTACCGGAGTGACAGAGAATATTGACTTGGGAACAGAGACAAAGGTTTCTCAAGTTCTTCCAAATTCAACACAGTTGACAAGTAAGGGCTCACAGATCCTATGATTCCACTACTGGGGGCGTATAGAAATTACCTTCTTTCCTAGGAGGTTAAAAGGCATTCGTTAGGCATTCGTTAAGACACCAGAAGTTCTCTTAGCAAACACTGATATATCCTCAGTTTAAGGTGGATATTGGGGAAACAGATATAAACAGGCAAGTGTCTGAATAATTACAGTACCATGACAGATGTTCTAGAAGTACTAGTAATGCTGATAATAGTAACAAATATGTGTACGCAGCATTTTTTTTTTCTGTTAACCAGCATTCTATTAAAATTTTAATCCTCATTGAAAGAAAATTTCAAGGAGGGACTATTGCAAGTCCACTTTACAGAAAAAACATTCATGCACAGAGAGGTTAAGTAGTTTCTCAAAATCACAAAGATGGTAACTGATAAGAACCAAGGTCATGTGGCACTTGGAATCCATGCTGCTAGCAAGTAGACGAGGTAGGAATAAGGAGAAACGTGGAAGGAAAAGCAAGAGAGTCTGGCCACATGGAAATCACAATGGAGAGAGTTTTAGGAAGGAGAGGTCAGTTCTGTCATCTTCTAAGGAAGCGTCAAAGGCGAGAAGTTCTTTGACAGCATGTGGGTCCCGGGGAATTCTTGGAGCATCTGTGAGTTGTCAAAAACGGGAGCAGCAGCTAAAGTAATACATAAGTATAAGGGAGTTCCTCTTTGCACTGAACATGTTTCTGTGTTGAGAGCAGGGATACAGCACGTGAAAGATGAAATTAATAGATGAATGAATGAAAGCTGAGAGAACAGTGTAACTGGTTGTTGGAAGAGGCCCTTGCCTAGGAGGGGAAACGCCATTTCCAAACGATCGGTTGATGAAGGAGAGAAACTTCTGGGGACTCAGTTACTCTGAAAGTATTCCCAAGTTTAAAGAGGCCCTCTAACTACCCCGTAGTACCCTCTAAGGGAAGATGCCTGCATCACCTCTAAAACTGGTTCTAGCAATTCACAGTAAAGTTCGACATCCTGGGCACTGTTGCCCCATGTCTTAAAACATCGCTTGGTGGCTTGGTCACAGCTGTTCTGTAAGCAAGTGATGTGTGGAGTGGTAAGACTATGAAAGAGTGGTTGGATGGATGCAAGGATAAAGAAAGAATGGGGACAGAAAAATGAAAGAAGGTTGGGTTTTTAGAAGGAAGGAGAAATGAAATGTTGAAAGGAAATAAAAAAGAAGAGCGCGTGGCAGAACAAAAGCTTAGAAAGTCAGGAAGGATGGAAGAATGAACTGGTGGATAGAAGGATGGAAGGAAGGAAAAATGGGTGACTCTGTGGGCAAATGCTTGGTCTCCCATGACCCCTGACTTCATCCTGGTGGAGCTGAGCGGCACAGTCAAGCAGGTGGCTCATTTAGACCGTGCTCACTTTCTGGATGGGATGAGTCACCCCAGATTTCTTCCTTACTCTCACCTGCAGGAACTGATGACATCATTGAGAACTTCACAAAGATACCTAATGAAGCAGCACCTGGAGGCACCGTAGAACCAACCCATGTCCTGGCATCCACATCATCAGTGAGTCTTACAGGTAGGTTCAACTTTGCTTACTTTGTAGTGACCCCTCTGGTGACCTCTCAGGTCCCAGTGAGAAGAATGTTGGTTTCTTTGGAAGAAGAGTCCTGAGGGAATGCTGTGGGCTTCCATGTCTTAATCTGGATCTTGGTCAAATGGTTACCAGGTAGATATTATCACTTTTCTTTCCTTTCTAATTTTCAGTATGAGATTAGTTCAGGCTAGATATGTCAAATTCACAAATTCAACCCAGATTAATATAATTCTGAAAATGTTTATGCATTTATTAATTTATTAATTTACTGTGTGTTAGAGACTATCTACAAACTGAGGATTACAGATTAAGATACTTAGGCATTAGTCATTGATTTCTCAGTCCAGTAGGAGAGAGAAAGTAAAGGAAAAGAATACAGATTTCTCAGCACCATTTACTGAAGATACTTTCAATATTGTGTTTTCTACTCCTTTGTCATAAATTAGTTGCCTGAATATACATATGGTCTGATTTCCGGGCTCTCAATTCTGTTCCATTGACCTTTGTGCCTTTTTATCCTAATGTCATACTGTTTTTATTACTGTAGCTTTGTAGTATAATTTGAAGTCAAGGAGCAAAATACTGCCATTTTTGTTCTTGTTTCTCAGTATCATTTTGGATATTTGAGGTCTTTATGATGTCATACAAACTTTTAGGGGGGTCTGTTTCTGTAAAGAATGCCATGGAGATATTAATAGAGGTCGCACTGAATCTATATACTGCTTTAGGTAGAATGGTCGTCTTGGCAATATTGAGATTTCCATCCCATGAGCATAAAATGCTTTCCATTACCTGTGCCTTCAATTTCTTCAAACAATATCTTATAGTTTTCTCTGTACGGGTCCTTCATTCCCTCAGTTAAGTTTATCCCTAGGGATTTTATTCTTTTTACTGCAAAGCAAGGAACTTGTTTACCTTCATTTAATCTGGGGCTTACACAATAGTTCACTGCATAATCTTTTCCTCTGAAAGACACCTTCTAACATTTCACAGTATCATTACTCTGCGTGAGAGCTTAAGAGGTGCAAGTGTAAATATCAAGGGGTCTTCCTCACTGGGTAGCTAAAAGAGAAAGTTCTCCACATTCATTCCGTTATCCCCAAGACGTTTAGAGGTCCAACTACTTTACCAGTGCATTTTGGAGGCTTTTTTCAATAGCTAGGTGTTGAACAGTCATCACAGTCACGTAATTAGTCCTACCCAGGTGCATTCATGCACAGGTGGGCAAACGAGTGTCAGTCCCACTGGCAACCTCTGGAAGACAGCATAGTGCCCCTCAGTGTTGTCCTATCCAGAAAGCAGAGTGGTGGGGGCATGCCTCATGTAACCCCCTTCACCACTCAGTGGGCTTCTTGCTGCTAAAGCTGATGGCACTCAGCACTTCAGGCCTGCCCATACACACGCTCCGTGGATGTACTTAAGGGTGTGTTCGCTGCCCCAAAGACAGCCTGAAGCCCCCAGTGGTGCTGCAGCAACGGTCAGTGCTGATGGGGGATTAATGGGACGTGGACGTGGCTGACTGTTTCAGATCACCAGGAAGTGGGCCCGGGCTTCCGGTGATCAGCACTATTTCTCTGGCAGTCTGTGAGGCATATCCAGTAGAATCGGTGGCTCTTTTCAATACAGAAGTTTCTCAGCCTCAGCACCACCGACATTTTGGGCGGGCAATTCCCTATTATGGGGGACTATCCTTGCATTGTAGACCTCTGTGGTCACATTCTGGGCCCCGTTCTAGATGCTTGTAGCATCATCTGCATAGACGCCGTTGTGACCGTCAAAACGACCTCCCAACAGTTCCCAGGGTCCCCCAACAACAGAGCTGGCCTGATTGAGAGCTACTGAGCTAGACTATCCTTGAGAAGACTCCCAGAGGGACATTTTCTCCTTATGTCTTTCTTGCTCCACCCTGGCTCCGTTAAGATCCTGAAACTAGCTAGGAAAACAAGATACTGTGTTAGGCACTAATGTAGCTTTAGGATTCCACCCCGTCTTCACGTCTTCGCTCATTCACACATTTATTCAATTATATTCAGCAGATCTCTGGGGGCCTAGGGATGCCAGGCAGCCATTAACAGGCATTCCTGAGCGGGCTGTGAGGGGCAGGACCATCTATGCTAAGGACATTTTGAGAACCAGAAATGAATTCTGACATGGCTTTGTAGAGGTAGGTTTGAGCTGAGGGTTGAAGAGTGGGATCATGAGAAATAAGCACGTGGGGGGCGGGGGCAGGTGGGTGGGACAAATGTTCGCTGGAGAACACATGTGGGCATACAGGGCGGTCAGGAAGTCATGAAAGCTGACAGCCTGCCCGAGGCAGGTCGGACAGGGAAGCCGGTCATCACTTCTTTCCTTCCCCATTCCGGAAGCAAGACGAGCCTCCCAGGTCGCAACGACAGCGATTTCCCTCCCTCTCCTCGGAGGAGAAAGAGCTAAGCTACCACCGGCCCAGCGAGTGGTAATCACGCTGCGCCCTGTGTGTCTGTCTGCAATGCCCAGGCCGCCCTGCAGGAGCGACAGGGAGGGCTGGCGCCTCCGTCACCGCCCCGGAAACCGCCACCACAGCCGCCAAGCACGCCTCAGCGGCCTCTGCCTCCCCCGGAGTGCCGCGTCCAGCAGGAACGGCCAGCACCGCCAATGCTGCTTCTCCCGACGGCCAAGAGGCACCGGCCTCGGCGGCCACTGAACCCGGGCCAGAAACCAGCGCGGCAGGCGCCGGGACAGCCCCGGCTGTGTCCACTCGGGGGCCAGAGACCTCGCCCTCGCCGGCCGCTTCTGAGGCAGAGACCGGGGCCGCCGTCCACGTTCTCACTGTTTCCTCTGGAGAGCCTGGAGCTACGGCCTCGTGGGTCTCCCGTGCCACAGGGACGGGCCCCCCTGGGTCCAGGGCAGCCCCCACTGCGCCCCGCAGTGAGTGGGGGAGCACGGGCCCCCCGGGGACTGGCGCTGGGGCGGAGGCCAGCACGGCCGGCTCAGGCCCAGCGGCGGCCCCTGGGGTGCCAGCGTCGGAGAGCTCGCGCGCTCCCAGTCCTGGAGCAGAGGCCAGTGTGGTCGTGCCAACACTGACCGGTTCCCCAGGCCACTCAGAGGCCTCGGCCCCGTGGGCCACCTACCCGGGTGCACACAGCCGCTGGCCCACTCCAGCTCCAGCCGCCCGCCCTGGCAGCCCGGGATGGGTGACCGCCCCAGGCCCCGGAGCGAGGGCAGAGACCAGCCCAGCTGCCCAAGCACGGCCTCTGTCCTCTGGTCTACCAGGGGTGGACGGAGCACTGGTCACCAGTTCTGGGGCGGGGAAGACCGGTCCAGCTTTCCTCACTCTGACCGCGTCCCCACGTGAGCCGGACACAGCAGCCTCATGGGCACATTCTGCAGGGACCAGCGCCCCCGTTTCTGGAACAAGTCCAGGTGTTCCCAGCCCCGAATCGGACGCCGTGTCTTCAGTGGCCACCGGGCCTGGCGCGGAAGCCAGGCCCACCAGTCCGGCGACAGCGGCCTCCCCCAGCCTGCCGGGAGCGGCGACCTCACACGTCACTGGCCATGACCCCAGCGCCCCTTTTTCAGCTCTGACCGAGCCCCTGCATCAGCCAGATCCAACGGCTTCCTGGGACACGCGTCCTGC